TTTTATCCGAAGATTCGACTTGGTGTTCACAGCATATTGAGGCGGTACCCACTTGGTGCCCAACAAGGTGGTTGAGTCAAGGGAAGATTGTTTTTTTCGTTCGAGTTCACTGGACTGATATTGAAAAGAGATTGTCAGAAATGGAAAAGGAAATTGTATTTATTGGAGACGTTGAAAAGAGTGAACTGACTACATTTTTTCGAGATAACGCAAACTATGTCGTTTCAAGTTATCTTGTTGATACTTTAAATACACTTTGCGACCTCAATCAATCTTTGCAAGGAACGAATGCATTTATGTTTCATGAAATGGGTGTTATAAGGAATTTTTATATGGAATTGAGAAACAAAGTCGTGAAAATAAGTCAATACAATTTTTCTTCTTTCGAAACCATAAAAGACTTGAAGTTCGAACCAGACTGTTTCATTCATGATTTCATTGACATCATTCTTACCATTATATATGGCATGGAATTCCGTTTTCCATATGTAAAATGTTCGTCCTTTGATCATTGTTTAGAGATGAAATTCTCGGAAATTGAACAAAAAAGTTTATTTGCTTTATTTTTTGAAGAGTATGTTGAAACATCAAAGATGTTGCCTAAAGAATATACTCAATTTAAAGACGACATTGATATCATTAAAAAAATAAGAAACACCAAAGTTGTTGATGTAAAGAATGTGAATGGGTTTCCAGATCTATTGGCATATAAAGATATGATAAATAGAAACGGGGAACTGTGGAAATTTACTCTCTATATCATGTCGATATTCCCGACAAGTGTTATATCCGAATCAACATTTTCTATTGCAAAATATACTTGGAGACCCAATATAAAACAAAACACTTTTAACCTTAGGAAGTCACTCGTTTTTGTTGAATTTTTTTTGCTGGAAAGGGAAAACTGGATATTTTCTATCCAGATCTTTTTGTAAACAAAAAAAAACAAAATGTATAACAATAAATTCAAGCATTCATTTTGAACCATTCACCACATCAAACGCGATTGCAATCACTACATGATTTGCGTTGCGAATGTCGCAACAAGTAGTTGTTTTTTTGTTTGCAGTCGTGACAATATTCAGATTTTTCCTCTAATGGTTTTGATGTACTTGTTTTCTAGACGTTCCATGGTAATGTCAAAACCCATATATTTTATTAATTATGTTTGCTCTGTTTGGGAAAGTCTTGTTTGTATCAAAATGTTTAAAATGTAAAACGATGGTAATTGAAAACAAAGGATATGTATAAAAGTCATCCAAATTTGTTGATCTCATCCTGGTAATTTTCTACATAACCTTTGTCCTTTGAAACATTGTCACTATCAAAACCATCTGAC